TATATTACTTATATATTATATATTAAATTTTTATATTTAAAATCAAAATTGTAGAGAAATAGCCAGATATTTTTATTTGACAAATTTTTAAATTTTCTACATTTCTCCTATTACTTAAATTAAATCCTTACTTAAATTTCAGAATCGATTTTTTCGAAAACAAAGTTATTAAATGACATATTATGTGATTATTTTTAAAATTATTATTTATTAATTATATTATCCATCTAATATATAATTCATATGATAATTTCATATGATAAGTATTGTTTTATAAATTTCATGAAATTTTATTTTTTTTTATAAATATTTAGTCGCGAATAAAATATTTTTTGAAGATTTATTAATTCTATTTAATAATAAAGATTATATTAAATATAAAATATTATACAAAATAAAACATTACTTTATTAGAAAAATGTATTTAATATATCAAATCAATAAAAACTTGTAATACAAACAATAAAAATTCTTTTTAGATTATATATATTTTTTTATTCTTCATTTATGAATTTAATTTAGTATATTCAAAATACATAAAATAAATGAAAAAAAAAAAAATATAAAATAAAAATGGATTAAGAAATGCGAATACTACTTCTTCCAATTATTGTTATTAATCCATTATCTTGTAACTCTCTTAAAGCATCTTCAAACATATCTCGGGTAATCAACTAAAAAACAAAACAATTGTAATAATAATTCTTGCAATAGATAAAATATATTAATAATTTTTACAATGTTTCTAAATTGTAACTCATTATATTATAAAAATATATATGTACTAACCAATTCAGAAGATTGCTTTATTTCAGCAAAAAGTTTTTGTTGACTAAGTATATGAATTTTATCCTTTTTTTCAATAAGTTTTTGAAGTACATCATATAATTCTTTCTTTTTTTTTCTAGCTATTGAAGATATACCTGTAGTTAAAATACTTATATCTATTTTGCCACTTAATGGATCAATTGCAGATTGTTTTAAAGCTTCTCTATGCAACCTATTTTAATAAAAATTAAATATATTACAATTTAAATATATTATAATTTTTATTTATTACAAACCTCCATGCTTCTTCAACATCTTGTAATTCCACAATAGAACTGAGTCTTATTTTAGCATGTGCTTCAGATAAACGTATCAAAGATTCTAATTGTCTAGGATAGGCTGTTATTTGTCCACGTCCTCTTCCAACTCGTCTCATATCAACATAAGCTTGTATTAGTCTTTGTTGGCTTTCTTCATTAAGAATAGGATGAACATGTTCTTTTGCAAAAACTATATAATCACGAATAATACTTCTGCTTACTTGTTCATCTTCATCTTCTTCTGATGTTTTATAATATAAAGATACCATGTGAGTTGCAAGTTTACTATCATATGTATCACTTTGTGGATCTAACATTAAAAAAATTAAATCAAAACGAGAAAGTAATGTATGTGGTAACTTCACATTTTCGACTACCTAAAAAAATATACATTTTACAATATTATGACAAAATTAATATGATAATGTATATAAATTGAAAATATTTTTTGTATTTATGAGAAATAAATATATAAGTATATATATATATATATATATAACTCATTATACACTCATATATACATATATATATACATATATATATACTCATATATACACACAAGATGTTAATATATTTGTAAAGATTTTAGAAGTTAAAATAAAAAATTGATATATCAATTAAAGTTTATCTATTAAATTATAAGTAAAGTTTGAGTAAGATAAAATAAGATCAGAAATTTAATTTAAACTTAAATTATTTATAATTTAAT